TTATTTATTTATTTATTTATTTATTTATTTATTTATTTATTTATTCATTTATTCATATATTTATTTATTTATTTATTATTTTTGTCATCAGTGATTCGTTTACAATTTAGGGAACAGTCGAAGTCATGGGGCAAATTAAGCTTGCATATCCGTCCAGCCCATTTTCTTTAGCTATTACACTCGTGGTGTTTTGAAAATAACCTATAAAGGCCGATTTAGACGACACAACTTTTCCCTACAACTATCGCATGCGACCTGCGTAAGTCATCCTTACGACACGGCTACAACTGTCGTGAGGCTATTGAGCAATTGTTTAAAATCCCTACGACAGTTGTAGCCATGTCGTAAGGATGACGCAGGTTGCATGCGATGGTTGTAAGCAAAAGTTGTGTCGTCTAAATCGGTCTTCACTGTTTTATATTTTTTCAGAATCCATGCCAACTTGTACCTTGTCAAAATGGAGGCAGTTGTATATATGACAGTGAAACGAACAATCGTTCCTGTACTTGCAAGGAGGATTACACTGGAGATTCCTGCGAGGTTGGACCAAGTAAGTGAATTTGATTTCCCATATTTTTTTCGGTTCACGACCAATTTTCTGTATGACGTCACAACATGGCGGTCAAAGTTCTCGTTTATATTATTTTGTCCCTTATAACTTTAAAACAGCTTTTCCCTTTTGTTTTTTGTTTTGTTTTGTTTTGTTTTTTTCTTTTCTCGAACCATTTTGAAGAAAGTTATTTGAACACGTTACATTTCTCAATGTAATTGTAAAAATTAAATCAATTAATTCATTTTTTTTATTTTGGGGGTCAGTCCTTACCAACGTAATTCTCAGCTTCAATGTATCGAGCGTCCCGGTACGTCAGCTGCTGAACAACAACGGCGTCTTTTTGAACTTTGAACTCTTCGCTGCGACATTTCATTTTCCTTGATAAAAACACTAAATTGATTTTCTATCGATAAAAAAATTTTCTTGGCTGTTAAGGATACCTAGGGCATTTCGTGTTCGAATTATAGCATAACATTTTGACATAATTTATTCATACGTCGCTAATACTGACAATTTTTTTTATGGAAATGTCACAACAGCTGTGTAGATATAGCAAGGTTATTTTTGACCAAGTTAATTATAAAACGCAAAGGATGCTCACAATTTGACATCACAGTTGGATACCGACTAACAAATCCAAATGATATGTTCCTGAAGCTTGGATATATGCCATACAGCTATTGAGAAAACGTTGAACTGAATACTTATACGAGGTAGTGTAKTCGGAGGTCGCAATGCATTATCGGTTATTTTATCGCCGTTCAAAAGGAGTTTTCGTGGTGTTAGAGTGACTGCGCCAGCTCCGTTCAGTCAAGAACTTCAATGGGAAGCAATTTCAGTTTACAATTGTCATTTTGCAGTTCAGCTAAAGTTGCGTTTAACTGCAGCAATTCATTTCGTTCTTAAATGCACTATTCAACGCTTTTTGGAGTARCTGTATAAGTTATAAAGAAATATTGGAATTTGAGTCAGTTTCCGTGAACGCCAAAATCAATGAACATTGATAAATCTAACAGTTTAACAAGTTTCTTTCGTCTCTCTTACTGTCCAGGATTCGGAAACTCATTTCGTAACGTTCGCACGGGAAATTGCGTCGCAGCTCCAGTGCAAACAGCAAGAGAGACTTGGAGCAAGTTTAAAAACTATTTAACGTCCCAGGCGGCCTTGCGGCCTGGGACGTTCATAAAATGCAAACACTTTCTGTGTTTTTTTTTTCCTGTCACGTTCGGTATGTACATCATGTCTGAATGTTGCCATGACACATATGCCTCTACTTGTATATTGAGGTCTGTATGGCATTCCGGCATGAAGTTTATACCTCAGGTCCGATTACCACAGTCAACTGAAACAAATGTGGCGGCTTTCTTGACAAGTAATCGTGCCGATGACTGGCCAAATGACTGGCTAAGCTTAAAACAAGCGAACATAATATTAAAATGCGATGGCCTGGACTTTTATAAAGCGCTATGTCTGGCTTCAATTAACCTGTAATTACATTATTGAGGAACTGAACATCGTTGGCCGTCGCTTGAGACGGGGAGACTTGCTACGAAAGAATCAMCGAAATATAAAATTGACTCCTGTAAAAGTCGTTTGTCTCCAAAGAAAAAGCTCGAAGAAATGAACACAATGCAGTGTTCGAGCATCGTTGGCCGTCGCTTTTGAGACGGAGACACTTGCTACGAAGGAATCACCGACAAATATAAAATTGACTGCTGTAAAAAGCCGTTTGTCTCCAAAGAAAAAGCTCGAAGAAACGAACACAATGTCTGACATGTAAATGTTAAAATGCAATGTTGGAGGCTCAACTAACAGTTAATCTACGAGAAAATCTAGAAAATACAAACGCTTGCCTTGGACAAATCGACAATTTACATGTAAGAAGATGCCAAGAGCAAAAGACAACAATAGTTACAACTTTTAATAGTTATAAATTCAAATTGAGCACTCTGCTGAACAGAGCAATAATATTTCACATTATATTAAGTACATAAACTTGTGCATTGGTTTGATGTTTAGGTCTGGTTAATATTATGTCATCTTTGCCCAAGATTATTTTAAAATTCCACAATAAGTTATAAGCTTAATATCTCCTAGAAAATTCACTATCAAAAAACCCAAGACAATCCAAAGTAAAAATAAATTTTGCTAATATTATGTAAGCATATAGCACAGTAACACAAAGATCGCATCAGTTGTGTGGTTGTTATTTTTATAATCTTGAACTTCTTTTTTTAATAATTGGCATCAGTTTGAATACATCAAAGATTCAGCATATTTTGATGATTGTTTTTGAGCTTTTTACCATCACAAATGCAATCTGTTCTCTGACATGCAATGTAACATGCTAGTACATTTTGTTCATGTAAAACATTTCTATATCATTGATCATAATTTTCAACAACCAAATATAATGTATCTGTTGGCTGTTTTTTAGGTATGAAGATCAAGATCTTATATTTTATTTCTMTGTACAGTGAGATAGCTTTAAGTCTCTTTAGTTTGATATTCCTCGCAAATGATTCTTTATTTTGTGCTTTTAGCCTTGCAATATTTATTATTGAATCAAACTTGATATCAAATTTCATTCTGGTTATTATAGACCATTATAGGGACTAACTAACCCCCCATGCCCCTACTCTATGCATATATTGCAAAACACAGATCACTTCCTGGGACGTTTCACCCTGCCTGCAGGGTTTCATTATTTATGGAAATGAAAAGTCCTCAGTTGATCATCATGGATTTATCGTTTCTTTTAGGAGGTCTCGAGAATTCCGCAATCCTTGTGAATACAGACAACCATAATTATACAGCGGCTCTTGCTGGATTCCTCGATCCGGCGTTGAAACCATTCGGGCCTGGAACATGGGTAAGATGCTTTCGTGCTGTACCAGGGCACTGGGATACCCGGATGTACTTTCATCCTCAGTGTGATGGCAAGAAACTAACTGTGACCATCATCCGCGTTCGTTTGTCCATTTTTGGTGGATTCACTGACAGGCCATGGCATTCAGGTGAGGATAAATAGTGATTTCAAAAAACATTTGAACACTGGATTGAGCATTCCAAGATCAAAATGTGTTGTTATATAAGCTTATGCCAATGATTTGCTAATGTAAACAAACTATTCGCCTATTTCGCAGTTTTTTTCCCATATTCATAACATACAAAACTATACAAAATCTCTTGGGCTCCATCTCAGGCTTTCATGAACAAGCAATAGCCGCGTGAGGATTGGTAACAAGCTAATATAAATAATAATTTTTCCCCTTCAAATAGTACGAATAATAGGGCTTCTAATGGGGTCCGCTGACAAGTTCTCTTTGTTAATTCTTTCACTGGAAAATCTCAGATTTTTACACACTATCTAAATCATGTGTAAATTGTTTGTAAACAGAGTGTAAAATTGATTTTACAGGACCAAGGTACTTTTACATACTATGTAAATTTCAAAAGACTTTGTAAATCATTTGTAAATTCTTCCTCGTATTCAATGTAGATTTTTGTAAAATGTAAAAAAAATTGTTTGTAAAATACAATTCTTCCAAAATATTTAGATAATATGTAGAAGACTGAAGTTTTCCAGTGTTTTTTTCGAAGTGTGCATGGCTTGGGGGCATCTATTTTTCTCATTAGACTTTGATGTTTCTCGAATATATAATTAGGTTTTCCCCTTCTTTTCTTTTGTTTAGGCACAGCGTATTCAGAATCAATCAAATCGTTTCTCTTCTCTCTACACAACACCATCAATGGCTTCCAACCACTGCAATTCAACCTGACTGGAATCAAAAACCATGAAGCTATCTATGGCAATTTAGGTTTTGGTCCTACTTTTGGCTCAGGTCATGATTTATACATCGCTAATCTTGCTTCGAGTAGTTTAGGCTCACATACAAGGTCCTATGCCTATCAAGTTCCTCCTGGTTGTACTTTTGGTGGAGCGTGCACCTTTTTTGCTGGTACTTACAATTCTAGAACAACAGATTATGAAGTATTTTATTACAAACAAGAAAACATTAGTAAGTGATTTTATTATTATTTTTATTRACTCTTTTTGGACGATTTTTCCAGCTCTTGGGACTTAGAAAGGTCTAAAACTTACAGATATTGCATGTCCCCTGTTCCCATGTCGTCCATGTTCAAATACTGCACTTTCGAATTCTTTTTTGTGCAAGCTTAGATTTAATACATCATACTTTTTTATAGTCTTCTTTGTACACAGAGTGTTTGCATTACAATAGGATCTCTGCTGAATAAAAGAATATATTACATGCTTTTGAGGTTAAGGCTGCACAAATAAGATCTCGAAACGGGAGTATTCACTTAAAGGTAGTAAAGACCAGGCCTTTAGCCAAAAAAAAAGGAATCCCAAAACCACGTGGATCCCAAGCGAATGTATCACAATTTAAGTAACAATGCGCGCAAAAAGCAGGCAACTTTCTATTGTTCTGAGGCAATTGCAACTTCCCCACATACGAACGTCTTGGTTTTCACACTGATTATATATCAACCTATGGGTAACAGATTTTTAAAATAAAATGTGGATAAACTCTGTTTTGAAACAAAGTTTCTTTTGTATTAAAAGATCTTGTCCAATCATAAGCACTCAAAACAATAGCCAAAAGATGCTTCTAATTTGCTATGTTCCCCACATAGAATT